CACCTGCATAGCTAGTTATCTCCATTCTCACCATTCCTTCTGAGATATACCTAGAACCCCTCAGTAGACTTCAAAGTAGAGAAAAAGATTAGATACATTTAAAGGTACACTGTTCACTGTAACTGCTCTATCCCACTGAAGCAGTTATAGCGTCCGGAGGCCTCTGGTGCCATTCAGTGTTAAACCATTAATAGTTTAATTCTACACAAAAGTCCCCAGCAACCCATCCCCTCTGAAACTCAGGCTAATGCGTTCTCATTAGCCAAGCAGCACAATGGGGAGAGATGTTGATTTAACACTGAATGGGGGGGATCACGGACAATATAACTAGTTTAATGAGTTTAAATCGTTATAGTGCCAACAGTGTTCCTTTAACTATAAACAACCTATCAGCTGGAGTAGAATGAAAACCATAGCTATAAACATTAATAACTATAGACATTTATAAATGTATTTCCTTCTTTGCAGAATATAAGCTACTTTTTATTTAGGTATAGGATGTTTAGGAATCCATCCATTGAGACAATTATTTACAGATTGTTTGCCATGGGATCTAGCAGCCTCGGTGAATTGTTAGGGTACAATGCACTGAGAGGAGCCAGTTTCCCTCTAACCAACTCTCCTGGAGAAATACATTGCTTAACAATTGCTAATGGTTAAAATATGGAGCCTGGCTCTTCGTTTATTGATGTACCTGGCTAGCCGTGCAGATTGATGTATTCCTGTAGCAAGCAGCGAGTGTCTTATACAGAATTACAGAACATTGCATGTTTACAGAAGTGTACTGAATAGTATGTTTGTTTGGTTTTATGAGCAGAATGGGAGCATCTCTAGTCTGCCAAGCAGACAATATTCTTATGGAGTAATGTTCATATTTTAAGGAGTGTTATTTATATAGATTTATGCAAAGAGGCCAGAGGGCTGGACCCTATTATAGCACTGATATTACAGTTTTCAGGTAGTTTTTGTGTGCTATGCAAGGTATACAGTGTTACCCACCTGTCACATTGTACACTAGTTTGAGATGTGTTGATCAATAAAGGAGTTGATTATTGATCTAAAAGTAGTAGTTTCCTCTTGGTATTTCAGTATCTAAATGGAAACACCCTTCTATTAGTTAAGCATCATGGGTTTAAAGGACGGAACGTAACATATAGGCAGAGATATGTCCTGACATATCCTCACCTTTTTGTCTGTGTGCAAGTCCTCACGTTTTCCTAATGCTCAAGTCCCAGGTGATTTTGGAACCTAGCAACACCCCTGTTTATAAGGCTCATACACTTTACTGCATTGTATGCATACTATTTTGAATATATATATATATATATATATTCAATACAAATCCACTCCCCTTCAAAGTTAATGTTTTCTTGGAATCCTCAGGTTTTTCAACTTCCTAAAGTGAGCTCTGCCCTAACTAGATGTAGCTGCCACCTGTCGGCCAAATCTGTTGTTTGTATTTTATTAAGGGGAGTGTTTGGCGTACTCCATAAATCCCTGCTACGCATGTAGTAAAGCAATTGACCGTTAAGCCATGAATTAAACAAATTCCTAATTTGATAGTTCAATTCATGGTTTTCATGAAGCTTTAGACACTATTATGGCATTGACTTCGTGACACATTGCGATGAATAAACTGTTCAGACGTTGCATTTGTGCTTGTATAGCCACAGGAAAGCATGGGCTAACGCTTATACAGTTACAGTATGTATATCAGATGTCCTTTCCCCAAAGACGAGGTTGTGCATTAAACATGATACATATCTCTAATCCGTTTGTCTGCTTTCCAAGCATGGCATGTAATAGTTTTCTTTCGGTTTGAAATTGAATTGTTCACCCGTGAAACAGGGTTTAATGCTGGCTAAAGTATCTTTCTTTTATAAAGTTATATGAACCCAGTAAATTATAGGATGTTTATATTTTTCTTCCTGCAGACCATTTTAAGCAGAAGTGTATTTTTGTATGTATATAAACATGTTGGTTCAGAGATATTGCTGCTTCCGTATTTCAAGTTTATGAAATCTGCTAAAATTGTATTTATCCCGTTAATAAAATATTTAAAGTTTATATGCCTGCTGTATTACTTCAAAGTTTTTAATTCTTTCCTTTATTTTTCACTGGTATTAAACCATTGCTCAATCCATCCCATGCTATCTGGTTAAGTGAACAACATACATATTGGCACCTAAAAAGGAAGCCAGTCTTCTGATCTTGGCTTTCTTGTGTAAACTTTCAGTTGACAAAGCACTTATATTTCTAACTTGTAAAAAATATATATATTTTTAAAACCACTATTTATTGCACACAGATGTAAATATTTAGAACGTCACTTTTAATATAAAGAACCCTTCATGTACCGGCCATGCCATGCTGTTTGTTTTTATGAGGTCCTAAATTTCCTCCCTATAATATACTGCTTCATCACAGAGCTAGCACAACTTCTAACAGAGTTACTCTGCATTCATCCACTGATGGTTTGAATATTGCAAAACCTCTCTTGGCAAAACCGTAAGATTTTTTACGGCCATACTCCGAAATCTTAAGGTCTGTCTTGGAATAAACCAAACATCAAAACTGGGAAGAAATGCTACAAAGGTTATCAAATCTTCACTATTTTGTGTGTTTCTTTTACTTTAGTAGTTCGACAACCTGGTTAAAATTACTTCTCGCTTTCCTTGCTATGGTGTAGTGACTTAGATACCCAACTTTTTTTACATGTAGAATAAAATGAATGGAGAGCACCTGATGGAAATATTAACTTCCAGTAAGTAAAACACTAACTGTTCAAGTTGCCACGGTTTATAAATCATTATCTTTAAACTGTTTAATTCCCAACACCGTAATGTTATAATAAAATTATATTCAAAATTATATTCAACGATTAATGAATGATCTTGACAGATATTCGACTGATGATACAGATTAAATCAGTGGCAGAAAATATCTGGAGTTGCGTAAGAGGTAATGAGTGGATTTTTAGCAGTACACAATATTGGCATATATTAAAACATTTAACAAAAGCGGCAATAAGGATTATATCTATCCTTCATAGACAATTATATATTATAAATTACCATCTAAATTACATATTGCTGTACAACTGACACATTTGTAGAGAATACTATAGATTAAGTGTCTGGTATGTTTTGCAATTGTCTCCTCATTACATCTTTGAGTTGTGTAAAACTTAAATTTACATGCTGAATACAGCTAACATTCTACCTGAGACATGTCTTCAATTTGTTCTTGGAGTCAAAGATCCTATTTTGGAGACACCTCTGCCTGCTAACCTCACAGCTTTTTTTTCCGCTCTCTTTTCCCCCCTTCTCTCTGTGGTCCCTCCTCGTGCGACCACGCACAGTGTAACAAATTTAAAACTCATCAGTGTGCAAGAATCAAAGGGACAATAAATTTTAAACCAATCTTATTGTCTGCGACTTGACGTGTTGTTCAGATCAAAGTCAAACCAACATCTGGCCAGACCAAGCAAGGGGTTTGAGAGATGCCATTAAAACTAAGACTTCAGCTTCCATCAGGATCTGTAATTAGAATTCTTAAAGCTACAGATTGGTGCATGCCAACAGTGTGCACGTTATTATACATTGATATATTACAGCCAACACAGAGTATAACATATCCCAACAAAATAATGTGTGCTTAAAATGGTCCTAGACCTCTCAGCAGGATCAATTCCCCTATACCCATCCTTTTACAAAAACCTGTACTATGAATTCCTTTTATACAAATTAAGGTTACATAGCAATAATTCAGCATTTTAAACACCATGTATAATCAATTAGTTATTTCCCCCCCCCCCCCTCCCCATTGTGCCTGCATACTGCAGAATATATAGTAATGGACTTTAGATTGCAAATTTCTATTGTCAAATTGGCACTTTTGTGCAGGCCAGATACAAGCAGAAACAGAAGAATGGAGATTAAAACGTTTGTACCTTTTTAAGTAAGGATTGATTTTTTTTTTTTTGGGGGAGTGCACTAACTGAACTTGTGAGGTTATTCTTTTATTAATCTATAATCCAGACAGTTCAGTCTCACAGATGGAGATTAGAGAGATCTGAAATTGCTGCATGTCTCCTAATTTAGTACTGTTCCAACAGACAGCCCAGCACAACTGCAGATGCATTTAAAAAAAAATTAAAAAATTTGAACTGATACTTTGTACAAAGATGCTATACAGAATGCAACCATTTTGACACGTTTGAATTTTGTCTCTTTATGTAGTGAACCATCAACACACTTGAACACTACATAATTGTGTATATATATCAGATTTACTTCATTCTATGCAGTTTAGTTTTTGATTGTGTACAACGTTAGTACATTTGTAGTTGCCAATTCATTCTTGAAGTTGTGACGTAGCCAACTCCTATATGTGGCCTGTGGGTTAATAGCCGCCCCCCGCACTACCCTCGCCAGCCCACCCCTTGCAGCTTTTCTTATCAATGAAAACCTTTTTAGATACCTCCTCTTCTCTCTCCAACATAAATCAACCTTAATCACCATACACAGACATTTTAATTATATTCTACAAACATAATAGAAAGTTAATGTATACTGTAGAAGCATAATCTAGTAAATAGAGGTTTAGATTCAAATTCCTGTAATTATCCTCATTGAATGAGGATACAAGTATCGCAAACATATGACTAGGTTAACAATATACTGCTGTAGAACATACAACAACTTGCAGAAAAATTGGGTGTCAAAAGCAAATAGTGAAGGAATGGCGAGGCAAGACATTCATGGTCTGAACTGCTGCGAGACGTTTGTATATAATGAAACGTTTAAAAAGGGACAAAATTCAGATGTGGGCTGAACACACTGCTTAACCACAAGCGACAGTATCTGCTGTCTGTTTTCCCTACAAGCAGCTGTTGAGATTACTAAAAACACCATGTGAAATTTTTGAAAATCCCATAGATAAAATCTAAGTGCAATAACAAATAACGGAAACCACCAATAATGAAACATGTTCTTTTTATTTGCTGCAGGATCTGCCTAAGTCAATCCCATACAGTGCTAAATATTATCCGTTTTACCAACACTTCCTACCCTTAATGCCAGAAAGTTGGAGGTAGTTATCTGTGATATCCTGTTGCTTGTACGAGACTGCATTATACTTTGTGTACACAAATTGTAAATAGCACATTGTGGTGATCATCACATGAAGAGAAAAAAAAAAAATGAAAAAGGAAAGTCTTGGAAGCAAAAATATTTTTTTCTTTTTGAAATTTTTATTAAATGTTTGAAACAAGTGAAATTTCACAGACTTTGAGCTGATGGAGAGCGTATTACTGGAGGTGCGTATTCAGGAATTCAGTGCACACGCAAATATCATGAAAAAAAAATAATTGGGTTTTCTTGTTTAGTTTTTTTTGTTATAATAAAGCCCAAGAAGTAAAAATGCGGAGAATGCAATCATCATTTGTCCCAATGACTAACATAAAATAACAGCCATAAAAATGTCAACAGATTGAGATTCTAGTTGCTGAATGAAGTTGCATTGACTTTTTTATTATTATTTTAATTCAGTTTTAAAGTCACCACAACTTCTTCATTGAAAACAAGATACAGACTAGACATAGGTATAAGGTCCAGGGCAGATTTATTGGACAGAAACCTGCAATGTTTTAGCTCTGAATGAGCCTTTGTCAAGCCTTATACCTGTGGCTTGTCTTGTTTTCACTTGAAGAGTTTGGTTGCCTCTTGACTGGAGGCACGGTTTGTAGATGTGTGTGCATACCACATTTCTCTTTCCCCAATTTGTTCAGTGACTGAACCCCTTAATTTGTAGCAATGCCAGTTTAACAGGGTGCAACATTCATACTCTAGGTGACCTAGATTAATTCTTAAATCTGTGACTTATTGTAGACGAAGGCACATTGTGTACCTATTTCAGTTATTATTTTACGACTCTTATAAAACAGGATTTACCATGCCAGAAATCATGGAGAATTGAAAGTTTAAGACATACATAATTCTGGAATTTAGAGACTCAAATCTATAGAACACATAGCATTCTGCAAAGCAAATGGGAAGTAAAAGGGGTACTGTAATGGACACTGAATAGCACTTAGTACAACAGATATTAACGCCATGACCCAAACTCACAAAACACTAGTTTTTCCACCATGTAGTACAATTCCTAGCTTTCTCCATGAAATAGTTACAAAAGTAATTCCCAATGGAAATAATCAAACCGTTCAAAAGGTGATAATAAGCCTGGAAGGAAAATTCAGACCTTTTATCTGAATGACATGCATTGAAACTATTTGTATTGCTATCACACATATCCTTCTGTGTCCTTCGGAAACTAGGATATACTTATTGGGTCAACAATATCATACAGTACATGGCTTTGTGCACTGAATGAACTTTTTTTGCAACCTGTAGTAAAATCAGACCTTAAAGGGACACTATAGTCACCAAAACAACTTTAGCTTAAGGAAACTGTTTCAGTGTATAAATCATGATACCGCAGTTTCGCTACTCAAATCTCTGAAGTTTAGGAGTTAAATCCCTTTTGTTTCGGTTTAAGCAGCCCTAGTCACACTTCCCCTGGCTGTGACTCATACCATGAAATTTATATTATTTTTTTTAAATTTCACTTTCAATTAGATGTAACTTACTTTAAAAGTTCTTATTGCTTGCTCTCTAAAGTGACCTTTAAATCATACACAGAATGCTTCTGTGGTGTCTAGCAAGCTATCAACAGTTCAGGGGATAATACATTTTAAAATAAATAGAATTTGCAATGAAGGAAGTGTAAACATTAGATGACTTTATAGGAAGTGTTTAGGAAGGCTGTGTAAGTCACATGCAGGGAGGTGAGACTAGGGTGCATAAATAAAATGATTTAACTCCTAAATGGCAGAGAATTGAGCAGTGATACTGCAGGGAAATAATTCAATAAGCTAAAGTTGTTTTGGTGACTATAGTGTCCTTTTAGGTATTAAAGAACAGAACAGTCTTTATTACAGAGTAAATTTGACTACTAACAAACTGATCAAGGAGTTTTATTACACAAGAATCCATTGTGCTCCCAAGAATTTTTTTTTTTTTTTTTTTAAAGTAATTACTTTGCCTTAATACAGTATATCTCCTGTATATTTTGAGCATTCTGGGTTCCACCAGTCACATGCAAGGCGTCATTTATACAACTTCTCAGTACTTTATACCAACCAACATCAGGATCTATAGTTGTGTGCATGCACGGGTACTCTGTTACTGCTGGGCCTCTGGTGTGCATCACAAACTCGTCAGTGTGAATAAATAATAGCTATATACATAATGTATACATGGGCAGTGGTACTTGCCTGGTCCCAAGTAAGAGGGCACGGTGTGCTTTACCTGGGGTTCTCAGTTCATGTTCTTCCCTTCACCTATCCCTTTGCAATTTATTTTTTATAGAGTAAGCTTGTTTTCATGGACACTGAATAACCTGAATTGTTCAAGTTCGGTCTTGGGTCATGACATAGATAATACCAGTTGCACAGATGTGACAGTCCAAACTTGCGTGCAAAAACAAAAACACAACAGCACTGTGGCTGCATTTTGACACAATGTTTGATGTTCTGGAGTAGCAGTTTCTTAACATCTAGTCCAAGTCTATGGAGATACATCGACATTGCTTGACACGAGTGATTCTTTTTTTCTTAGTTGGAGGCTGGAGTTCTGGGCAATTAAGCGTGACCACCATGGTGGTAAATTTTTTGGGCTTACAAAAAGAGCAAGACTGAAAAGACCCTTCCTCCCTGCGGATATGCCTGGGAATATAGAAGGAGTTGCATTGCCCATAGCAGAATCGGTTGATGATTGTACGACTGTTGCATCCTTCCTCGTGGATAGTTTGCTTTAATGGCTGGGTCTTACACCAGTCCCTCTTTAGATACTTGCGCTCAGTGACCAGCAGAGCTTCTTGACTGGATTCCAGCACCTCTTCAGCTGGCATAGTTTGGCCCTTGCCCTTTCCTCGGTTTCGCTCTCCTGGCTGTCTTGGTGTTTGTTCAGAGTCATTGGGTTGACCTTTGTCAGGAGGTGGAATGGCACCTTGGGAGCCACGAGTCTTTTTCTGCCCTTCGATGCAGGGAATAAACAGCCCACAGAAAAGGAAGAGCGATCCCAAAGCATAGATCAAGCGCATCATCCTAGGAAGAAGGAACACAACAGTAATTAGATACAAGATTATGATAAAATATATGCCTTCTATGAACTACACTTTCCAGGGTCCTGTGCCTGCCTCTAAGAAAGATATAGCCATCATATAGATCTCAATCTGCATTCAGCATTATCGTAGCTTTAATGCTGCAATTTTATAGAAAAAATGTATTTCCTTTAATCATTGAAAATGGTAACATTCATTTACCAATAACAATAAATAGATTTTTATCTTGAATTTTGTTTTGCAAACAGGGAATACGTGGACATCATGTACAGTTAAGTAAATACAGGCAAATTATGGAAATGGGTGTCTGTTTAATTTGATTCTCCGTATCAAGGGCAGATTTGGATTTTTGTACAAAACCTCGAGTTGACCGAAAACAGTTATATTGGCCTAAACTGCACAAGTTGGTCAAACATTATGGGTTTTAAGATTTTTTTAAAAAAATTTTTTAAGTCATTGTGATTTACAAACCGCTATTAAGCAATAACCAGATCATTTGGAGTGAAAAATAAATAAAATAAGAGGGCATAAATTCGTACAGTGAGAAGAGGAGTCCATACATCGGATCTTCCTACAAATGCTATTATTTCTACGTAGGCATGAAATATACGAAAATATTACTAAGTGATGGTTTGTCTATTTTACAGAAAGGTTGCTTTTATATATATCCTCCTTTGTTGTATTTCTAAGAGAGAACAAGGAAAAGGCCCATAGTGAGGAGTATTTTCTTATTTGGTCTATTTTTGTCCTGTTTGTTTCAACTACTTTTGGCACTCTCTAATACATTTTCAGGTGTCCTCTTTATAGTCCTAAAACCAAGATGAAGATCCTACGCTAGTATTCTCATTTCAGGTTACTAAGACTCCATCTAGCGGAGAGATTCCAAGAGGAACCTCTGCGAGAAGAAGACAATGTAATGCATTTTTTCTACTGAAGAGAAGCAGCACCTGAGCTAACCACAACGTTCTGGCTCTACTAGTGTGTATTTACACAGAATGTCTCCTCCAACATTCCAGGCATGGTAGAGCTGTGAAGTCAGGTTCTGGCTCTCCATGCAAAGTATTTAAAAAACGGATACTTTAACAATAGTAGATGTCTAAACATCCCTGCAAGCCTGATACATAATCCCTCGGTTTTAATCACAAGACTGATCAGGCCATGGAAAAAATTATTTCTACACGGAGCGGTGGTGTCTACATTCCAAAAGGAGCAGGTTTTATAATTAAAATTTCCATTTAAACACAGCTTTACGCAAGACAAAGTAACATTCTGCTTCCGACGGATCCTAATTTCCGTAAACTGCTATGTTATGGTCATGGATTTAGATTCTCCATCTGGCTGACTTGACTACTCACTCTGTAGTTGGAAAGGGCAAGAGGTGGCTCTCTCAAATTAGTGGCTTTAGGATTGTACTCTATTGATAGGAAAAAATCACCCCAGGATTAAGGAGATCTAAGAGACAGAAGACAGTAAAACCGCGGCTGTCCTGGTTAAACTTCCCACTTGTCGAGGCACTTAAAGTTCGTTTTTGGGTTTTTTAAACCTCAGAATGAACTAGAAGTGTGTATTTGTACATAAAAAGCCAAAAAAACTAAACAAAAAGAAAATATCCCACACAGTTTCCTTTTAGAGCATTTAGTTGAAGCTGCCTTTATAGTACCTAAATTGTGAGATTCTATGCGTGTAATTTGATGGACACAAATCTACCTGTGGAGGACAAATGTGTTGTCATTTTCACAGGGAACTAATGTAGATATTCAGTGTTAAGGTTACAGAATTCCCAGCACTTAACCCCTTAAGGACCAAACTTCTGGAATAAAGGGGAATCATGACATGTCACACATGTCATGTGTCCTTAAGGGGTTAAACTTGTATGATTTATAATGAAGGGTTTAAAATCTATACCCAAGAAATTAATTACACTTAGATTATATACATTTTATGAATAAAAACCTGAATTTAAAAAGAAACAATAAAAATGTCATTAAATTAGATTCAATTAGAATACTTTTATATTAACCCCTTAAGGACTGAGCCAAATGTACGCTATAGGTCTGTCCAACCGTAATTAACCTCTTTCATATTAAGTGCACCCACACTTCTATCATTTTATTCAAGGGAAACAGGGCTTTAATTTAACATCAAATATTTATTTAGCTATGAAACATTTTAATATGAATACACTATTAAAAAAAAGGGGGAAAAAAAGTTGTGTTTTTTTAGTTCTACATGACATTTTAACTGTGAATGTCATAATACTGTTTGCTTTTACTGTAATAAAATACACATATTTGTATTCAGCAATGTCTCGTGTGTAAAACAGTACCCCCTATGTACAGGTTTTATGTTGTTTTGGGAAGTTACAGGGTCAAATATAGCATGTTACATTTTTACGTTTTTTTCACATTGAAATTTGCCAGATTGGTTTTGTTGCCTTTGAGAGCGTATGGTAGCCCAGGAATGAGAATTACCCCCATGATGGCATGGCATTTGCAATAGTAGACAACCCAAAGTATTGCAAATGGGGTATATCCAGTCTTTTTTAGTAGCCACTTAGTCACAAACACTGGCCAAAGTTAGCGTTAATATTGGTTTGTGTGGGAAAAATGCAAAAAACTAATTTGAACGCCGATTTTGGCCAGTGTTTGTGACTAACAGGCTACTAAAAAAGACTGGACATACCCCATTTGCAATACTTTGGGTTGTCTACTATTGCAAATGGTATGCCATCACGGGGGTAATTCTCATTCCTGGGCTACCATACATACAGTCTCAAAGGCAACATAACCAATCTGTCAAATTTCAATGTGGAAAAAAATTAAACGCAAGCCTTATATTTGACACTCTA